GAGCCCTCTAAGAATTATGTGTACACAAGTTACAGTAAGCAGTACAATAAGGAGATTAATTTTAACAACGATATTGAGGTAAGCAATGATTAAATAGTAATATTACGTACGACATTAGAGATGAAAATGGAAATAAAAGATACAAAAAAATAAAAAATAAAAATAAACATAATAGTAAAAGTAAGTAAAGGGTAAGCAAGCAGAATTTAGGGCTTATAGATAATAATAGTTTAAAGCATAGAGTTAATTGGATGAAGAGCAAATGTAGGCAAAACAATATTGAAACTTAAATGCGAATCAGGATGATACTCTAGCGTTTCCCGATGCTGCAGATGACAGAAGAGGGCGTGCTTGGAAGAAGAGAGAGATTCCGATTTCCTGATTCTATAATACTAGGAAGAGGACTCTATGTTAAAAAAGCAGCATAAATAAATGAGTGTTGGTAAGATGATGAGAATGATAAGATCAAAAGAGACACGGGAAGAGGCTCGAGATTTCGAACAGAAATTTAGTTTATCGGCCAGGTAGCTCGAGGAATCCCGAATTTAAGGATTGAATATAGAAAACAGCCAAATTGATACTCTCTTCTATCATTTGCGATCAACTAACCCAGTAAGCCATAATAGTGTGATATATGATCTTCACGCAGATTGAATATGAAACGCATACATGCATTCATCAAATACTTGATCTTAAATCTCTGCTGATCTGTCAGATTTATGAAGATTGCTGAACAGTAATCGAAGAAAATCAGAGGGGAAGAGAGAGAGAGAGAGAGAGAGAGAGAGAGAGAGAGAGATACAGAGATAAATAGATAGTATATACCGTTATTTATTGAGTTGCTCTAGAATAAGGATCCTCTCAAGATAGATCGCTAAGATATACAAATTTACAACAAAATTGTTCCTTACAGAAGCAATAAAATTAATAAAATATGGAATATACAAAATAAAGATTCAAAAAAATAAAAAAGAAAGAATTTAACACAAATAAGCAAAGAAGGTTATATTCAAAACGTTTGGTGTCTTTTGCTTAATATATATATATATATATATATTTTGCATGAATTTTATAACTTTCAGTTGAAACAAGCTACGATTATTTATATATATATATTTTGCATGAATTTTATAACTTTCAGTTGAAACAAGCTACGATTATTTGTCGGACTTGAAAGACAATCCTAAATTAAAGCTGCAGTACATAATGTAAATTGACAAATAATATTTAACAATGATGATGCTAATAAACATCTTTAAAACACCGTAAATTCTTTACAATGTTTTAAAGATGTTCACCATAAAGATATAGATAATTGTTCGCAGCTCGAGTTCGTTGCATCACATGAACGGCCCACAGGTTTACCATTTCGCGAAATTATCGCGATACCTGTTCACATCGTTATTGTCATCGTCGTCTGGCGCACCACCAAACGCGGAACTTGGTTCTCGCGGTAAAACATCGAATTTATAATGCAAACATATAATATGTACACACGAGACGTAGCAGTGTCAGTGATCGACGCGGCACGATTATTCTTTCTTGTTTTATTTCGTTTACATTCATTACACAAAACGCGCAATTGTGATTCATGGCCAAGCAAATTTTGCCAAAATGGATTCCACGAATATGACACAGATGATTTTCGAACATGACGCAAGTTCATAGGATACAATCCGGTACATAGTTGCGACTTTCTTGTCGGAGACTCCATTATTTTACTGATCGATTGCCTATCAAAATTGTATCTTGTAGTGCATTCTTTAAAAAAAGAAAGTTATCAAGATTTATACCTACAATGCAGGATGTCCGGTAAGTTTTGAACTCTACCTATGTAGGTACTAAATTGAATAAAAGTCCTCTATTGTTTTACAATTTTCGCTATTTTTTTTAGTTACTTAATGAGCAAAATATTTAAAATCGATGCATAAAACAACTTTAGGATATCTTTACCATAAACAAATCTTCATTAAAAAAATCTTTAAGAAATTTTTAAGATATTTCATAAAAATATTTAAAAATTATTTGCCTTATGCGTCGAATTTATCCGCTTATTCAACAACGTTAGAAATTAATATCTCGTTAACTATTGCAAAAATTGCAAAATGGAAGAGAACTTTTCGAGTCAGTTTAGTCCGCTTCATCTACATAAGCGTTTCATCAAAATTTACAGAACATTATATACAATTTTGATAGGCAATCGATCTCCGGCAGAATAATATGAGAATGGAATCTCTAGCAGGAAAGCGGTTTTTAATTCAGTATAAATCTCATTTTCATCGGACAATTGACAACATGGCGTCTCTTGATGATCTACTTTGAAGAACAATTTGAAAATAGTGACAAAATTGAATTCAATTTAATTCAATTTAATGTCAATTTATAATAAATGCCATAAATTAATTTTTAAACTAAAACTTTAAACATATTAATAATATGCTTCATATTTTGTATATTTGTATATATTATTTACATATTTTCTGCAATTATAATCACTCTACTGTACATATTTCAATTGAAATTCTATAATTTCCAGAAATTTAGATAATCGAAAATGTGCTTTAAAATCTATATTTGAATCTATATAAAATCTATATTATAAAAGCGTTATTCTTGAAAAGAAATTATCGATTTTTATGTTTGCACACGAAGATACCAGAGCATCGTGTGCTCATTGGAAAAAGAAGTTTTCAATCCGTCCGAGATTATTTTTTTTAGCTATTAAAAAACAGACTATCTGCTTAGAAGACCCAAGGAATAGTAACTCATTACTTGTAATGAAGTTACAAGTTATTTTTTTGATAATTTTACTGGTAATTACGTTACTTTTTTTTTATAATTGTAACGGTAATGTAGTTTTATATTTTTTGTTAACGGTAACGAATTTTACAATTACTTTTATCATTACTTTGCATATGACTGAACACGGTTCAATTGGACACAAGCCATTCTTAAGACTAGAAAGCCTCTAGGCACTCCGCTGTGATTGATGGTCGTCAATTTTAAAAAAGTAACGAAAAAATAACAAAAAGTTAGGGTGGTTCTTATTTGCGTTGCACGCATTAAGTGTGTAGATCACATATTCAATGAGCTATGCACATTAGGCATCCAGAAGCAATCGCTCATTGAGCGCTCAATTAGCGGTGCTTCTGAATACATCCATTAATATCGTTCCGTTTCGATAATGCATATGATAATGTACGCTTGGAAACGGAACGATTTATCATGCACAAATAAAAAGTGGATGCCATTATGGATGACAATAAGATATTTATTATTGAGGAGATTACGATACGAGATTGTATATATTTTAATAGAGTTTAATAGACTTTGAGTCGCTGTCACAGCAGTTTCTCTCGGTTGACAAAAAGAATGAGAACTTCGCTACTTCAATAATGATTGGAAATTCAATTAAATAACTTTCCATTATTATTTCACTATAAATCCGAGCAAAAGGCTTTTGAATTTTTTTTAAATGCATCAACTTCGCATTAAACACTTCACGTTCGAGCTGCTGTAGCTGATGTACGAGAAGTAAAGAGAATCTAAGAAAACCTGTGCGCTATCAGTATTTATTGATGCGCGCATTGATTGAAATGGAATAGTTCTCTATGTAGTCTATGCGTATTATGCGTATTATGCGTGCAACGGAGCGCACTCTTACTTTCTCAAGCAATGATAACTGTAACGAATTATTTTTAAAAATTAATTTTTCCATTTCCTAAGAACATCCTCTTCTTTTTCTAACGCGAAAAAGAAAAGTGTATATCCTCGATAACGATATAAATAAACGTCCGTCAAGATTTGCAGCGAGAATGTGCAATGAATTTGGGTATACGATTATGAATGTATAATATATGGTATACTGTCGACAATCAGTGCATTCAAAACAGACAACCACTCATTGAGCGCTTAGTGAGCTCTTGCATCTGATTGGCATATTTCGTTAGAACTAAAAATATAGACAAATTCAACAGATTCAAGAGCTCACTGAACGTTCAGTGAGCGGTCATAAGTCACTAAATAGGTGCATCCAGAAGCTCGAGCGCTTCAACCATAAGAAATTGGCCAATCACAGTTATGAAAAAAATAATCAACTACGACACAGAATATGAAAAAAATAATCAATTACGATTTGTTAATTTCTTACGGTTTATGATTTCCAACCCTATTGTAGAACAGGCATAAGTCGCATAAAGTCAGTCAGATAAAGTCGTTTCTGTGTCGCACAGGTAACCTGTTGCCAGATGTGAACACATCTATGTATAAACAATGCCGGACGAAACGGTATGTGACCGCGCGCGATCGATAACGAACCCGCTGCTAGCCGCTGCTGTTGCTGTTGCTACTGTTGCTATTGCTCGGAATGCTCGACCGGGCCAGCTTGGCGGGCTCGGACGGCACTAAATGACGATATCGACAATTAGAGATGTGCTGGACAGACGCAAATTGGCGCAAATTTGTGCGGATAAGCATCCTGGGATGATAAGCGAACGGTAGATATTCGGGATCGTAGATGAAAGGAAAGGAGGAGATTCCATCGCAAAAGGAAGTTACGTACCATTAAAAATATGAACTCAAAATACCGCGGCTGTGGAGGCATATAAACTGTCTTGCCCGTTTGGGATCTACGTCAGTCTCTCTCGGAAATAGAATTTCACGATGGTGACGCGAAAGCTTGACCGTCGTACGTACAATTCGGATTGCGCGCGCGAGTCTTCTATGTTTTCGAACAAGACCGCGTATCACCCGTGTACCCTCAGCAGCATGGGTATTACATGAAATGCGCAAAGTATACACGCTATTTTCTCCGTCTTGTCGGTCGTGAAGGAAAGACGAGTCTGTCCTCGCGTGCATATTTATGCGCGCTGCGTTTCGAACGGAATCGAATAACAAAAATAAATGAAAAAATAAAGGAAAAAAAGAGACTTCGCAGAGAGCTAATTGCGGACGACAAACAGCTCTTGCGAGCTGAGCGAAAACAATGAAAAGCAGTTTACCTGTAGACTATCGATGAGCTTCAATTCTTTTCCGCGAAGAGAACGGGCGAGTCCGTTTGCGCACCAATAACACCTCACGCCATAAACTTCCCTCCCGATGACGAAGCGGCCCTCCCCCTAAATTTAGAAAATCGCCACCGATCGCTGCAAGCTGCTCGCCTCGTCTCTTCTCTTCTCTTCTCTTCTCTTCTCTCCTCTCCTCTCCTCTCCTCTCCTCTCCTCTCCTCTCCTCTCCTCTCCTCTTTCTTGTCTCACGAGAAGACCTCGCGGAAATCGTTACATTCTCTATCTACTGGA